TACATAATCTCCATACTGCCATCTATCCATATGTTAAATTTCATAAAAAAAATTTCAGTACTTTTTGCGTTATCGCGGGATCCAGGTTATGTGTAAAATTTGCCATATTTTCAGTCTATTTGTTGCCATAGCAACCAGAATTTTCAACATAGGAAGAAAAGAAAAAGACGTGCATAATCTCCATACTGCCATCTATCCAAATGTCAAGTTTCATAAAAAAAAATCAGTACTTTTTGCGTTATCGCGGGATCCAGGTTATGTGTAAAATTTGCCATATTTTCAGTCTATTTGTTGCCATAGCAACCAGAATTTTCAACATAGGAAGAAAAGAACAAGAAACATGGCAATGCCATGAAACCAGGTTTTCAATTATCACCATTGTAGATAAATATGTTGTATTTGAAATACAAATACAAGCAACAAACAATGTAACTATGTGCAATGTAAAACATGAATAATGTAGGAGGAATTGCCACTGAAGAAGTGTTCACTATAATATTATGTATAAGGAAAAAAACAAAGGGCCATAATTAGGTCAAAAACTATCCAATCACAAAACCCCGACAATATGTGCCAGGGTGCTTGATGACAAAGCTTCTGTGAAAGTTTGAACAAAATCCGTTGAGAAATGTAGGACGAGTTCAGCACAGAAGAATTTGTTCACTATAATTATATTGATAATTCTGTATAATGAAAAACAAGTTACAAAGTAGACATGAAATAATATATCATATCTTTTTTAAATTACCTCCAAAGATGATATGACCTTTGACTGCCAAATCAAGTTAAAATCATGTAAACAGGATTTTCAATGTTAATGTCACTGTGACCTTGACCTTGGAGCCAGCCATGCGGAACATGCGTTCTGCACGTCATCTTGATGTGGTAAACATTTGTCTGAAGTTTCATTAAAATTCTCAAAGGGTTGAAGAGTTACAGAGCGGACAGGATTTTCAATGTTAATGTCACTGTGACCTTGACCTTGGAGCCAGCCATGCGGAACATGCGTTCTGCACGTCATCTTGATGTGGTAAACATTTGTCTGAAGTTTCATCAAAATTCTTCAAAGGGTTGAAGAGTTACAGAGCGGACAGGATTTTCAATGTTAATGTCACTGTGACCTTGACCTTGGAGCCAGCCATGCGGAACATGCGTTCTGCACGTCATCTTGATGTGGTAAACATTTGTCTGAAGTTTCATCAAAATTCTTCAAAGGGTTGAAGAGTTACAGAGCGGACACAATTTCGTTTGACGCCCGAAGTTAAAATCATGTAAACAGGATTTTCAATGTTAATGTCACTGTGACCTTGACCTTGGAGCCAGCCATGCGGAACATGCGTTCTGCACGTCATCTTGATGTGGTAAACATTTGTCTGAAGTTTCATTAAAATTCTTCAAAGGGTTGAAGAGTTACAGAGCGGACAGGATTTTCAATGTTAATGTCACTGTGACCTTGACCTTGGAGCCAGCCATGCGGAACATGCGTTCTGCACGTCATCTTGATGTGGTAAACATTTGTCTGAAGTTTCATCAAAATTCTTCAAAGGGTTGAAGAGTTACAGAGCGGACACAATTTCGTTTGACGCCCGCCCATCCGCCCAGCCGCCCATCCGCCCGCCATACCCCAATCTAATAACCAGGATTTTCAAAATTGAAAACCTGGTTAAAAAGACGTGCATAATCTCCATACTGCCATCTATCCATATACCAAGTTTCATCAAAATATTTTCAGTACTTTTTGTGTTATCGCGGGATCCAGTTTTGTGGACTGACGGACGGACAGACGGAGGGTAAACCTAAAGTCCCCTCCGGTAAACCGGTAGGGGACTAATAACTCTGTAAGCCTTTTATCAGAATTGTCGTCCCTTGAATTAAAAATTTTCCTTTAAAATATGTTTCTTAGATAAACTCCTTGTTTCACAATCGATTACTTCTAAGTATAAGTTTAAGTTTTATATCATTTTCTGTATATCCCAATAATGTAACAAAGGCTCATAACTCTAGAATCAAAGAGTTATCTCCCCTTATAGTAGAATTTTCCTTACTTTTTGTAACTTCTTTATTTCTTCAGGGATTTAATTCAAAAATGTTTTCAAAGAAATAAAAACTAGAGGCAATGGGGAAGATACTTACCATAGACGAGAAAACAACAAGGGACACAAGCAAAAGTGTCACCAAAACAGTATGAAACAACATAGACATACATCTGAGGAACACAGTGGGGCGCCGCCTTGGAACGGTCAGCAGCATAATAATGACTGCTTACCAAGCATGCTAAAGTAGAGACAAACAGAATCCCTAAAGAAAGTCCAACACAACAAAATTGAAAATGTTGCAGACTCGGTTTGATTGAGCCTGTTCATGGACGGTACTGGAAAGTGCAAGTTACCTTCCACGCCCCCTAGCACCGGCTTAAGCAGAATTCAATATTTAACACGAATATGGTGAAATTTTGAATTTAGAAGACTACCAAATCTCCAGGGAGAGCAAACCGGGCATTATATAAGGTAGAAAATGAGAATATTTCATTAAGGAAAGCAGCTTAAGATATGAATATTTCTTATTCTTTCCTTCAAGGTAGGGCTAGTGGTGCAGTAGATATTGAGAGTAGAAATGGACGTAAACAAATCTGGAAACAAAGTGATTCCTCGGAAGCATTAATCACAACAAAATTACAAGAGAATTGCAGACTCGGTTTGATTGAGTCTGTACATGAGGGATAATGTAAAGTGCAACATCCCTTACGCCCCCTATCACCGGCTTGAGCGGTACTCGATTCTCAACACTTAATAGTGCTGGCATCAATGATCCCGAAGGACCAGAAAAATATAACAACACTGAAGTGAAGTACGGGGCAACTTTTTACGTGAGCCTGTGTTCACAAAGGCAGAAGAAGAGAAGCTTGCAAACTACTTGTCTGAGATGGCAGCTAGAGGTATGGGATTGAGAATATCCGAATTTCTAAACTTTGTGGGCAATATCATAAAAAAGGAAAATCGCACAAACCCATTTACAGACGGTGTACCTGGTTACACATGGTATAAAGGTTTTATGGAACGAAATAAAAACATTGTTGAGAAGAGGAAAGAAACTCCACTGGAAGCATCTAGGGCCAAAGTTACTCCTTCTTTGATAGATGATTGGTTTTGCAAGTATCGAATATTTATTCCAGATAAAGAACTACTTGATAAGCCTGAGCGAATTTACAATGCGGATGAAACGGGTTTTGCTTAAGCCGGTGCTAGGGGCGTGGACGGTAACTTGCACTTTCCAGTACCGTCCATGAACAGGCTCAATCAAACCGAGCCTGCAACATTTTCAATTTTGCCGTGTTGGGCTTTCTTTAGGGATTCTGTATTTATCTATATTTCAATTTTGCCGTGTTGGGCTTTCTTTAGGGATTCTGTATTTATCTATTTTATGATCACATCCGTGTTATTTGTGCCGTGTGGCGGCTGTAAAAAGTCTCCCCGTACATTTAATCAATGATGTTATATTTTCGATCCTTGAAGATCGTTCAGCACGACATTATTGTTGTGCTTGTGGTATTTTTAGTTTCAACTTTTCGGCATTTTCTAGTTGGGTGGTTCCAATATTCCTACTTGAATAATGTTGAATCACCCTTAGGATATGTTGCCTGCTTTTTAAATTTGTCTTTTGACGTCTTATCTGTGGGCGTCCTTTGGCGTGCCGTTCTTTTTGTTCTTCTTTGTCCGGCTCGCGGTGAAGTCGCTCTAACGACGCGAACACGGTCCGAGAACATTGTTCCCGGGTCAAAATTTCACACTACCTACTAACCGGGAGGACCGGGAATTACTCCAGAACAAAATGGCGGAAATTGAAAGTAAGACAAATGTTAACATAATTCATAGCGTAAAATCTCTCTTAAGACGTTAAAAAAATGTTGTAAATTAACGAATTACAACAGTATACACTGATAACCGTGAATATAGATTACATACAGTGTGTCTAACGTCATTGATAGTACATGTGGTTGGCTAAGGGCGTTTCGTACTCAACTTCTTCGTAACTGTCAAAATAATTTCATGGCATTAGTCAATTTAAAACAATATAATATTAATATATTTTTTATGTTACACTTTATTATTCTGCCCACATAATTCTCGTATTTTACTTGTTTTTGTACACGTGTAATAGTTTTGTTCAAGCTCACGAGGTGGGATTCCTTGCGCCAAAATAATGGTGGACCAAAGTGTTTTTTTAAATGACATGTACATATTAAATGTAAATCTTGTTAGATCTATTTATATGTTACATAAATGTGCTAGTCTAGAAAAATATTTTATTAATAAATAATTGAAATCTTTTGGATTTCAGTCATTCCTCTCAAAAAATTTGAGGGGTGAACTGTTTTACCAATTTAAGGGGGTGAGTTGTCTTCAGTTTTTGAGGGGTGAGTTGTCTAGTTACTTTTTTACCCCTTGTGGTATACTATGTCCAATACTTTAACATATTAACTTTTTTCTTTCAGATGTCTAATATAGATGGACGCTGGACTTGTTACCTTTGCCACCATTGCCCTTCTTCAGCTAATTATCAAATATGATAAACAAGATCAACAAGGAAAGGCGGCGTTCAATGAACGCAACCCCCACATGACCCAGCAACAAGGACCAATGGCAAGGAGCCCAGGGGGACCCCAAACAAAAACAGGACAGGGCAAAGACAGAGCACGGACAGGTTAATCATTAAATGATAATTAATTTGTAACTGATTAGGAATTCAAAGAAAATAAAAAATAGGCCCACAAAGGGGAAGGGGACAGGAGACCGGGGAGGGGGTGGGGAGTAATCAAAGAAATAAAAACTAGAGGCAATGGGGAAGATACTTACCGTAGACGAGAAAACAACAAGGGACACAAGCAAAAGTGTCACCAAAACAGTATGAAACAACATAAGACATACATCTGAGGAACACAGTGGGGCGCCGCCTTGGAACGGTCAGCAGCATAATAATGACTGCTGGGGAGTTTAAACCGGTTATCAAAACAAGAAGACAGTAAGAAAACGATTGTTTTTGTGGATACAGATTACAGGTTCTTATTTAATCATGTTGATATTGCTTGATTATGTAATAATATGTTAAAGATCAATTTAGTATGGCATGACAATTTATATAATGTGGCATGAATTAAATGTGCCGGCTGGATTTTAGAAATGTATAACTGCTTAACAATTTAAAAGGAACAACTCTCAGTGCAAGATCTATTTCATTGCGATAGAAAATAGAATCATATAGCATTTTGTATTACAATATAAACTTACAGTTTTAAAGCACTTCCAAAAACATATCTGGTTTTGGTAGTGTTGTTACCAGTGGAAGAGGTTTTTTGTTATCCGTGTTATTTGTGCCGTGTGGCGGCTGTAAAAAGTCTCCCCGTACATTTAATCAATGATGTTATATTTTCGATCCTTGAAGATCGTTCGGCACGACATTATTGTTGTGCTTGTGGTATTTTTAGTTTCAACTTTTTGGCATTTTCTAGTTGGGTGGTTCCAATATTCCTACTTGAATAATGTTGAATCACCCTTAGGATATGTTGCCTGCTTTTTAAATTTGTCTTTTGACGTCTTATCTGTGATACGCAGGCTTCATAACCTCTGATTCCCTTTCAAAATTCCATTTTATTTAGTTCCGCTCATTGTTTTCTCGTTTAGGGCACACGCTTTTTATTACTTGGGGACCATACGCCGCTTTTCATGGAATGGCACGGAAGTGTCACATTGAAGGTTCCATGATAACCGCCGTATGAACACATCTGCGGATGTTTCTAAATTCAAAATTTTACTATTTCACGTTTAAATGTTGAATTCTGCTTAAGCCGGTGCTAGGGGGCGTGGACGGTAACTTGCACTTTCCAGTACCGTCCATGAACAGGCTCAATCAAACCGAGCCTGCAACATTTTCAATTTTGCCGTGTTGGGCTTTCTTTAGGGAGTCTGTATTTATCTATTTTGATATAGTTAGTATAGTATATTTATTCTCTAATTCAAATCCATGTTGACTTGATCCAGTTGCCACCCATTAAAAATATTTGGATATATATTATTGTATTGTACTTTGCTTAAGAAGTTACGATAATGTAAGAGAAACTATTTTCAGGTTGTATCTGCGCTGTTGCCATTGTCATTTAGCCTTTCATCCTCAGTGTGAAGTGTTTGAGCTAGAGCTTATTCTTACTGGCGAAGTAAAAGAAATTTTGTGCACACCTTGCTCAAGCAAAAATGGCTGATGATAATAGGTAAATAAATGAGAAAATAAAGTTATCAAAATATTATATCTGCATCAAGTAATAGTCAACATCTTTGATGTTATAATGTGGCTGCCAGTATTTTTATTATTGTGAGGATATTATTGAATTTGGTTATTAGTATATATATTAGTATATGCATATACTAATATTGAAATATTTATTCATCATATTTATTTTTAATTCAAGACTTTGAAATATGAAAAACTTTTTAAACACAATGGTGAAGTATTAGTTTGTGAAATTAAGTCTACATTCCTGCTTGTGTATTTGCATGAATTTTCATGCCATTGCCACAGTAATTGAAACGCTTTTCATGTATCAGTTATAACTGTTATAGCACATTATCATAAAGATGTAGACAGTTTATTGTAATTATTCATCAAAATTGTTTAGTTGTTTTTGATAAATATTGGATCTCCTTAAAAGCTTTAAGTTTTTTTTATCATTTTTCAGACTTGGTAAAAGACATGTAACACAGATAAATGTTTGACTTCTTCTTTTCAGAGTCTATGTACAGTTGGAATCAAGTGGAGGTGGCCAGACTTTACTTTTGGTTGATAGTGATATGGCTAAACAATTACAGAATGGTATGATATATTATTATCTTAAATTTATGACATAATTATACATGTATGAATTGATGTATGTAACCTTCAAGTCAAAAGTAGTAACAAGCATACCTAGGATTCCAAATTTACATAAAAACCAAGTTGATCTGCAAGACCAGTTTCTCTACATACCATCACAAACTCCAGTTTCTCACTCTCTTTTTTAAAAATTTATAGTCTTTAATTAAGATATGCTAAAGAATAACTTAGCTACTAAGTTAATGTGTTTGTTTATATTCATCAACAGGTCAGCTCTGGGCAGGATAATGAACATGTAAAATTATTACTGGTAAAACCCAAATCATTAGTATGATCAAGTATTCTGTTATACCAACTGTTTCAGATAATTTGTTTCAGATGCAACTTTCCGTGAAAATTTTCAAAGGTGCCTCCAAGGATCAGAAGAAAATAAAGCTGAAGACAATTCATGTAAATCTGAAGAAATAATGAAAGATGATAACAAAGGAGGTATTGTATACTGTATTACAACCTTCCTGGTAAATCTCAAAATAAGCTAATATATCTGCATAATGAATAAATACTTTTTAATACTTTCCAACTGACTGGAGAGGTGCATGATATGTTAAACACGATATACATGTTTACATGTATGTTAAGTAAATGGCATAACAACTTTTGAAAAAGGAAGTAAGAAATTAGATGGCTTCTTAACATCAAAATATCATTAAATATGAAATCTAATGTACTGTCCAAATCCAATGATAATCCAGTGCAATATCTGAACATCCACAGCTGTTAAGTTATTAAAAGGTAATTTTCTGTATATATCTTTGCAGAGGTAAGATGGCAACCTCAAGCTACCCAGCTACTTGTTTCAATGCGTATTGAAAATGATGTAAAATTCCACATGCAGAAGACTCACTCAACTTTGTGGGATGAAATTTCAGCAGTTTTGAAAGAAAAGGGCCACATTTTCACTGGGAAACAATGTAGCAACAAATGGAAGTCTCTAAAGAGAGACTATCGGGCTGTTGTCGACCACAACTCCAAAACTGGCTCAGACAAGAAAACTTGTAAGTTTTTTGATGACTTTAATCAACTCTATGGAAATAAGCCAAGTACCAGACCAAGTTTTACTATCAATAGTGGTTCCACTACAAGTGCATTATCTAATCTTCAATGTACAGATGCTGGGTCAAGGTCAAATGCAGAAGTTTTCGCCAGTGAAATAGAAGATACAACTGACAGTGGGGAACCACCAGAAAAGAAACCAAAAACACCAGGCAGAAAAATAAAGAAAAAAGAAACTGGTGTTGATAGAATGGTTAGCTTTCTTACATCTTACCAGGATGCCCAAAAGCAGATGCAAGAGGAGCATGAAATGTTTGTAAAAGAACAGAATGCTGAAAAGCTTAAAAGATTTGATCAGTTGTTGGACATTTTGGCCAAAAAGTAATATTATTTGTCTTCCATAGAAGATAATTTTAGTGACAATGAGGACCTTATTATGTGCCCATCATTTGTTTTCTTTTCTCAAAATAGTTGGATAAGAGGTTTATCAATTTAATACATTTTTGTTTATATTTCACTGTTCATAAATAGTTATATTTACCATAAGCTGTTTTATTTCTTAGGATTGAAAGGCAATAGCACTTGTCAAAATTGTCATGAAGATTTTGTTATTTCCAACTAGTCATATTTGGTACTCATCATTATGCCATGTACACATTTGGAGAAATTGTTAGAGTTATATTCATTATTGTTGAAAGGCAATAGCACTTGGCAAAATTGTCATGAAGATTTTGTTATTTAAAACAGGTCTTATTTTGTACTCATCATTATGCCATGTACACATTTGGAGAAATTGTTAGAGAGTTATATTCATTATTGTCATGAAGATTTTGTTATTTCCAATTAGTCATATTTTGTAGTCATCATTATGCCACATACACATTTGAAGTACTTAGTTATATGTGTTATTGTTGTGATTTATTGATAATTATTGTGATATTTTGATTGTGTAAATGGCATCATTATTCAGTAAGAATTATGTTAATGATCTCATTATTCATATTTTTTTTTATGTTTACATGTAAATTATACAAATACTTATTGCTCCATATAGATATGTATCACCAATCATACTATGAGCTTTGGATGAAATTTGAGTTTGTGACTTGCAACATCTATTTTAATGCCAAGAAAATTATTTATACAAACAGAAAAACAAGCCATTATATTTTTAAAACTTTTTACTGCAGAAAAATGATAAAAGGAATATCATGAATAATTTCATATATGCTGGCCATATACAGTGATACTTTATAGAAAATGAAACAATCTTACACAATGCATTGTGTGACTTTAGAAATACTCATGTTGGTATAATGCTTAAACGACAAAATACACATGGAAACTATTAATAACAAAAGATGACAGAGAATTTTCAACGACTGTTGCCATGGAAAATGAAAATATGTTTTTGACCCTCAATAATGTCATTTATTTTAAACAAAAAAGTATGCTGCATCATCAAATCTTACAAAGTATTTGCTATGGTATCCCGAATTTGTACAGCGTCTGCATTGTTTGCAAATATGTTGGGATAGTTGTTGACATCCTGAGCTTGATTCATGTCAATGAACTGTTCAATTTCATCTTCACATAAAATACATAAATTGTGTAAGACACAAGCTGCTAGAACTACTTTACAAATATCTTCAATGTTATGACAATACAATTTCTGCAAACGTCTGAATCTGCCCTTTAAAAGTGCATTAGCTCTCTCAACACATTGTCTAGCAGACGATAAGGCACGATTAAATCTCCTTTGATTGATTCTTAAGTGACCATTGTCACGGTATGGAGTAATTAGCCAGTTCTTCAGTGGATATGCTCCATCCCCAATGATGAATTTTCTGGTAGATATTACTCTTCCAGTTTCTGCATTATTGAAGAATGCAGAGTTTCTTAAAACTCTAGCATCGTGTGTGCTTCCTGGCCATCCAACATACGCATCCATTATCATTAAATTGTCATCAACAACCAACTGCAACTGTACCGATGGAAATCCTTTCCTGTTAATATAATCATTTTCACCACCAGGACAATTCACAATAGGTATATGAGTGCCATCTATTACACCCACTATGTTATCAATGCCACATGAATCATAAAATGAATTAGAAATTTCTACTTCCCTCTGAGCATTAGCCATTTTTATGTAACAATCACTTTTATCACAAATGCACTGGGCTACACTGTGAATAATTGTATTAACACTCCATTCACTCAGTCCAAATAGCAAAGCTATTTCTCTTTGACTGTTTTGATTAGCAACATACCACAAAAATACCAAAATCTGTGTCTCAACAGAAACCGGTTGATAGCCTCCATGAAATTCTTTGATCAAATTTGGGGTCAGTTTGTCAACAATATGCTGGAATACATGCACACTAACACGAAAATGACGGCTAAACTCAGCACTAGACATTTGATTTACACAGTCCAAAAATGTAGTGACTTTTCGTCGTTCTGTTTTTTCAGCAAACAGTCCAGCACAACAAGCCAATGGGATAATGTCAGAACTAAATGGTGCATTATCATTCTCAAATAGGTCTTCAAGGCACTGGTAAGTTGCTAACATACTAGCATCCATTTCTCAAATCATTAACCTGAAAAAAGTAATAAAATGCAGGTGTTGGTTTCATTCAAAACAATTTACAAATGAAAATATAATAACCAGCCAAATTAGTATTTCCATGTTTACACATAAGTAATGAGTGTATTTGTTAGATCAACGTCACTGCAGTACTGTAGACGTAAACATATCTTAGTTTTGTAAACATGCTTGTTTGTGTCCAGAATGAATGAAATCTGTGTGATTCTAATTGATTTTGCAGTAGAAACAACTGAAAAATGATGTACCATTTAATAAATGAAACATTACAGAATCGTGTTTAATGTAGGCCCCTACATGTATATTTACTAATTAAGCCTCATAAAAAAATATCGCGAATATATGTTAAATTAGGTTTTGCAAAAGAAAATAAGTTCAATGTAATGCATGTGTCCTAGCGAAATGAATAACTACGTTCTGCGCAATATTATTTTCATAAGGAAGTCATATAATCTTGGCAAAACTGTATATTTTCACACTTAACGCCTCTTGCCATTTGTTTACTTTACCTGTCCGTGATACTGTTTCCTGTTCCAGGTGTTAGGGCATTTCGACACTAGTTACGTGTGACGACTCACTCGATTAAATCCGTGGAACAAGCGCCCAAGGACGCCCTGTGATACGCAGGCTTCATAACCTCTGATCCCCTTTCAAAATTCCATTTTATTAAGTTCCGCCCATTGTTTTCTCGTTTAGGGCACACGCTTGTTATTACTTGGGGACCATACGCCGCTTTTTATGGAATGGCACGGAAGTGTCACATTGAAGGTTCCATGATAACCGCCGTATGAACACATCTGCGGATGTTTCTAAATTCAAAAGTTTACTATTTCATGTTTAAATGTTGAATTCTGCTTAAGCCGGTGCTAGGGGGCGTGGACGGTAACTTGCACTTTCCAGTACCGTCCATGAACAGGCTCAATCAAACCGAGCCTGGGCTTTCTTAAGGGACTCTGTATTTATCTATTTTTTGATATGAAAGTTGTCATTTTTCATTAAAGAATCTTTAGTGTAACCTTAACATTAGCATGCTTTATGGGTGTTTTAGTAAATGTATTACACTCATGCAATATGGTTTATGTGATAAAAATAATTATAAATGTTTGAATAATTGTAGTGGCACTCATATTCAAATCATTTGGCTTTATCTTTTACTGTTAACCATTATTTGAACACAAATGATCTATATTACATGTTTTTCAGTTGTCAGTGAAATTGTATTTTGATATTATCACAGTTAAAATATAAAACAAAATTTTCACAAAAGTAGCTAGACTATATGTGAATGCAGATGAAAAGAATATATATCATGAATACACTTTCGTCAAAATATATGTACACTCCGTCACAAGTTAAATGTGCTTCATTACAATAAGCACATGAATTTTGGCACATGTAATAAAATTTTGTGAAATTATAAAGAATTATTTTCAACAAGATCAATGCGATATCATGAATGACAGAGCATGTTTTAATCTGGCAAAGATTTGTAAAACCAACTGAAAAAAACACACTAAAAAGCATGTAATAAATTGATATTTGTTTGTCTTGTATGTAATATCAAATTATATTTCACTTGTGAACACCAGATTATATATTTTTACTTGTTTTCTTGAAAATATTTCATTTGGTGTTCACTCTGTGAAAGATATTTCGATTTACATGCAAAACAAATATTCTCTTAAGAATATATAATAATTCATGCAAATTATGGCAGGTCAGTTATTTTCATATTGAAAGTAAATTATGTTTTGTAGAATCATACAGAGGATGATGTCATAGAGTCGATGATTACAATAAAGAATAGTGTTATCAAAGGGTATCATGAGTTTAAGATACGACCACCATTACAGTTAACATTACGTGTGGACCGAGAGTATACAAACATTCATGATGTCAGTGCATGCCTTGTATGGTTACCAGATACTGTTAGTGATAATGATCAACTTGATTTTGTGACTGATTCAAAAAGAGGTCTTCGGTTGAAAGATATTCTAGGTCTACCTTGTGGTCATGTCCCACGAGGCATTGCCCCAGCATTTCGCTATATACTAGATAATGGTGGAAGAATTGAAGTTAAAACCACAGGAGACCCTGTGCCTAGTTTTTATCCATGGCCGGATGTGAAGGAGAAGGGTGGGGGCATTGTAATACCTTGTGATTATTTTATCTACACCAACAATAAGACTGCTCATGTGACTGTAATAAAACATCATATTTCCTTGATGTCAGAGAAAGATGCCATGGCTGTTGTCTAAAGTTTATTTTACATGTCATGGATATAAGACCTATATGAATATATAGCATACATGTGTTTTGCTTTACATATGTACAGAAACTGTATTTTAATCTTGAAACCTTTAATTGGATTTTATTAGAAAATATTAAAGTTGAACTTTGATTAAACATGTGTATTTTTCTTTCATTCAAGTCACAGGTACCCAGCACAGTGTTGGGACAGTTTAAAAAAGTAATTCTAGAAAAAAATATATACTGTATATATAATAATTGTCAAGTATATTTTTTTCTAGAATTACTTTTTTACACTATCCCAACACTGTGCTGGGTCCCAGTGATTCCAGTGTCTTAAAGTCCATCAATTTGTAGAATAAAAATTATTGATATTCTCAGAACACTAATCAACCAAATAAAATAATTTTAAATGGTCAAAAATGGTACGATTTATGCTGTAAACACGATATGACATTATGATCTGGTTAGACTCGAGGCATTATGTCACTATAAGCAGAGTTAAAGAACATCATTTCCGATCATTTCGTTTATTTTGCGGTGATTCGGAAAAGGCGAGTATGACCCGGATTACGCAAAGTACCAGTCTACATTTTCTGGGAAATTCCGATATAAACGCCAATTCAAATACAATTTCTTATTACACCATTTTAATCGTGACATATTTATCTATCTTTAAAAATACTTTCTTCATTTTAAATGTATAACTATCGACGTAATTCAACAAGAGTATTGAAACTGGACCGGAAGGGCAAGTTCACTGTATTTTTCGGACAGCCCTCATTATGCATGATCTAGATATATATTACCCTATATTCTTTCAGTGCCTTGTATTAGACATATCTTTGAGGTTAAGTTAAATACATATCCTAACATATACCATTGACGTGTTTATTTTGAAGCAGGAACGGGTATATTTTATCCAATTTAAATACTCTTTGTATTTCCGTAATTTGTTAATTAAATATGTAATGACATAAAATTTAAATATTATCATGATGTATCATGGTAATTAGATATTTTTATTGTAAAGAATCCGTCAATATTTGTCAAAGGTTGAATGAAATTGGATTTTTCTATCTCGTTTTGACATAAATTTGAAAATTAATACACTACTTAAGAGATTAAAATGGAAACTTTTCAACGTTTGAGCAATTTGAGCGATAGTCGAATGCCAACTGATTATTTCTTGTATGACATGAATAAATATGAGATTTATCAAATTTGGATGTTTCTCTCAGTAAGAGATATGTTTCACGCATATTAATTCTGATCTATGAAAGTTGGGGATTTTTATCAGTTAAAATTGACGGAAATAATACAGGTATGTTGAAATGCATCTGATGTTATTCTTAATATCAAAAGTATAAATATATTCTTTTCGCCATTCGTCATTGACTTTACATAGTTTTAAACGCTATATATCATTTGATTGCTTTAGAGCTTAACATTTTCGTCGTACAAAATGCCCTAATTGCATATTTTATCCTAAACATAAACATGTCACTTATTGTCTGTAACATCAAACTGCACATTGCAATTTATTGCTTCCATGTAAATTAATTGTGTTGGTTTTCTCTGAGGGCTTTTTATATTAACTGAACATGTCACTAAAATAATTGATATTCTCATTTATATTTGCACAGAACGTTAACCTATTTTATCATCAGTGAATATCATGCCATTAAAAACAGAAGCACTCTTACAAATGTCAACCAGACAATATTCTTACGAACATTAAAATCTCGTAACAGCTTCTAATGCATCTGACAACAAACTACACTCCGCAATAGATTCAAACTCAGAACTACCGGTTTACTAACTAAGATCAACAAGGAAATGCGGTATTCAATGAACGCAACCCATATTCTAGACACCTGAGCCAAAGTATCGACTTCGTGACGCCGATGCTAAATGTTTTTATAGTAATCCGAAAGGATGTGGACCGATATGTGACACTATCAGTTGACTACTTTATCAATCACGAAAAAAGTATTTTTCTGGCACATGATATTTGGTATGAATCGTCTGCCAGGGTCCGATACTAACTGCATATATTTCAAATATCAAATTAACTACATATGGACAAGATATTCCGCATTTTTACGTGCAATCAAAATTAAAAGCCGGATAATCTGAATAACCAATATGGGAAAAAGGCCTGTTATAAATTATCTTGGACTTTCTTAATTCTCGAAACTTATTGTAAATGACCAAATTTCATTAAAGATGCTTTAAAATCATGAGCTCATGGATATGTGTGCTTGCGTGTTTTTGTTAAAAATATAGTGCTATTTTAATAATACCCATTTTGTCAATCAAAGGCTATGGATTTTGGAGGCTGCGTTCTATTTTATATACTACATGAAGTAGGTTCGAGACCACAAGGGATGCTGGTGTTTCGATTTTTCATGTGAGAAAACTTTCTAACTTGCTTACAGAACGTCGGTCGTTATATGCAGGGGCCCGTTTGTACATTTATTTATACCCAAAGGGGCACTTGTAAAACTCGAATGACCATGTCAGTTTTAAACTGACCAACATTACCTGAATTAAAAGTTATTTTTAAAGCCTCGTGTCTTTAAACGTTAACCATTTTAGCCATGGCAACTACATTTTTTAATTAAACATGGCCATGATATTGAAAAATTGTTCCTAGTGACTTACTTATTATTAACAAAATATAAACATATACAAGTTTTCAAGTATTGATATTTTTCAGCGATTTAGGTCATGACCTTGGTTTATATATTTTCAGGAAAAAGCATATAAATAACATACACTTCACAAGGCTAAAGCTAAAGGAAAAAAGTAAAATACAGTAGGTATTAAAAGAGTTATTGCTACCGAATACGACACCCGTTGGAATTTCAATACAAGAATTCAAGTCTCCAAAACATGGAATCAAAATACGTGCTAACAGATCCCCATACAAAAGCAAGGAAAGGACACTGTCAAAATATCCAGATGAGAAAAAAGGCCAAAAATGTCTCGTACGTTTTCTTGATAGTGATAAAGAATGAAACTTACCTGAAATTGAAAATCTTATTTCTGATGGAAAAACATGTAGACATTTTTCTGATGGATGATCACCTCTGAACAAGGAAATGATTATCATAAAAACAACAAGAACAACAATAAATACAGCATTATAACAAATTTTTCTATCAACAACATCTATTGACCAATCATTTTAAACGCAACTGCATGATTCTGTGAAGATCGAAGCGTTTAACATACCCGAGTTGATTTTAAATGTGACAAGTAAATGTTCAGCGTGATCTCTTGAAATATAAGGCTCACATATACATTAACATTTAAAGTGTATAAGATAATCGTATTTCTTGAAAAACAGATTTCAAATGTCTACCTTTGTTTTCACAAATACTTATAGATCACTTCTTCAACAATAACTTGTAATATTAACATATTATATCCAAATATTGATTGCACAATATTCAAATCGAATGGTTCGCGACGTACTCTCAAAATGTTCTTTTATTTTTGAATAATCATGTTTACAATAATGATACATTGCAAAACAGGTCCGAGGGTTCTCGTTTAAATTAATAAATAAAAAAGACAGAAATTAAAACATAACTTTATGAAAATATGCTAAAATATAACTGCATTCACTCGCTACATTAGACATAGTAAATCTATCAGATTAACATGTATTTTTCTATGAAATAGTGACAAAAACATATGACGTGCTAGAAATCGCTTGTGATAACAAATGAGTGTGTACCGTTCCCCTCGGCCCCGGCTATAAAAAGAAAGCTGTACTCGAATGTTCTCAAAAAACATTCCGGGGTTTTCAGAATTTTTATATACCGTGGAAAGCTGATATAATTACGGTTTCTCTGAGCCTTATCTGATCAAATCAGTTGAGCAATAAGTAAGTTATAAATAAAAACATACCTAAATCTGGTGAAAAATCGGCGTGCTCCGTTCCCGAAAAGTCACGTGGTATAGCCACATTGTTTATGTCAATCATTGAAATGAATAGGCTTTTATTAAATTATGGTTTATATAACTAAATTATCAATGTATTTCATTTATTATTTTTATCAAACCATTTAATTTTCAATTTCCTGGTGCGTGGTGAAGTTCTTTCATGACTGACTGCTGTAGCAAGTGCTCTGTTTGTAGGAATTACTATTGTTTTTTTTAATCATAACTTTGGTAGAAAAGATTAAATGAGTATTTGTTAACTTCTTACCTTGTCATCATTATAAATTTTATTGTTACACGTTACGTTTTGTTTTAATGTTTGTCTGTTTGCTGTTAACTGGCATTTTGAGGAATAATTCCAATCCGCGGGAATCATTTTTAATCTTTTTCTAAAGTAATGATTCTACAGGCCTTGGAAAATGAAAGACACAAGATAACACAGAATGAAAATAACTGATATTAATTTGACATTTTGATATATTTTCAACACTTAATTACATTCAAAGTGTCTTATTAGTTTCAGAAATAATTTGTATTATACCGTATTAAATGTCAATATGTTTCTCAAAACTCGCGAAACGTGACAGTTAATAGTCAGAAGAACACATGCCGAAAACACCCTGTCACGAGAAAAAAAAAGACCCTGAAGCGACTTTTGAAGCAAAATCGGCTCGAATAAAATGTTCAAAACTAGCGAGTGTAACACGGATCTAAACATTTTAAATTTCGAAACTTTCAACAATATTATATCTGTTTAATGGCACTGAAATAATAATCAACATTTAAAATGTTATTCTTTTTAATGCACATAAATCAGATTTATGTGCTATTCGCTCATTTTTAAACCGAGAGATCTATTGGTAAAAAATGCATGCTCTTAAAAATTGCACCTGTGCAAAGTATCTTAACAATGAAAATGGGTGAATCATCTTTATCTTTGAACTTCTTCTCCCTCGAAGTAATATTCGTTACTAAATTACACTCAGTGACAATCAAGAAAATTCTGACAATAACAGCCATGCCAATGATTAAGAGTATCCATAACCTATCAAGTTTTGGAATATCCACAGTTATACAGTATGAATTCTGAAGGCAACGCAATTTGGGTTTCAAATCATCTCTCAAAGACTTATGAAGTGCGTAAGTTGAAGAAGTGGAAGTTATTGAGATGCTTAAGGACACAGTCACATCAGTAGTGAATTATATTTTCAGAAAGAATCCAAAATAATCCTTGATTATTGTAGAACATAGTTTGCCCATTTATCTTCCT